TCCTTTCACCATACTTATTCAATCTATATGCTGAGCAAATAATCTGAGAAGGTTGACCATATGAAGAAGAATGTGGCATCAGGATTGAAGGAAGACTCATTAACTACCGTGCCGGCAACAATGGAATGCCAGAAGAATGACAACCCCTGCCCTGGAAGAAGTGCAGCCATAATGTTCCTTGCAAGCTAGAATGGCCAGACTTCATCTGACCTACTTTGTCCATGTTGTCAGAAGGGACCATTCCCTGGAGAAGGATGTCATGGTTGGTAAAGTGGTGGTTGTTGTTATATGCCATCAAGTCGGACCTGACTCCTAACGACTCCTCCTTGGGTTTCCAAGGTCGTATCACTGCAGAAGTGGATGGCCCAACCTTCCTCCCAAGGAGTGGCTAGTGGGTTTGAACCACCAGCCTTCCTGTTAGCAGTCAGGTGCTTTAGGCACTATGCTACCAGAGATCTCTTGGTAAATTGAGGGTCAGCAAAAAAGGGGAAGACCCTCAGTGAGAGGGATTGACACAGTGGCTGCAAAGATGGGCTCAAGTATAGCAAGGATTGTGAGGATGGTTTACCACTGGACAGAGTTTCATTCTGTTGTATATAGGTTTGCTATGAGTAGTAGCTGACTCAAAGGCACCTAACAACAAAAGCTACTTTACCTGTGGAGGCCCTGCGTGGCACTATTAAAGAAAAAGTTTGGAGGACTCTACCCAGAGGCCCCTATGAATACAGGCCTGCCTTCATTTGCTTTGATGACAACAAAGTAAGCTACAATATTGCATCAAATGGTGACAATATATTTTGTATTAAAAATTGCAACAACATAAACATTAATATTTACCATGTTGCTATTAAAGGAGCTCTGGTAGCACAGTGCCTAAGGCATCTGACTGCTAACCATAAGTTGGTGGGTCAAACCCACCAGGGAAAGTTGTTATGTGCTATTGAGTTGTCTCCAATTCATAGCGACCCCTTCTTGGGTTTCCGAGGCGGTATCACTATGGAACTAGATCACCCAGTCTTCCCTCCAAGGAGTGGCTGGTGGGTTTGAACCACCAACCGTCTAGTTAGAATCAAGTGCCTTAGGCATCATGCCACCAGAACTCCCTCCAGGAAAGTAGGACTGGGCAATCTACTTCCATAAAGATTTACCTCCTTGGAAACTCAATGGAGGTATCTATTGATTCAGAAGCAACTTGATGGCAGTGGGTTTGTTTTTTGGTTATGTTATTGTGTGTCTTTATAGTGACCCTATAGGACTGTGACCTGCCCCATGATTACCTAGGCTGTGTATCTTTATGTTCTCCAATTGGTGCAGTTCCAAGGATACAACTTCTGATTAGTAGTCAAGCTCTGTTTAACCATTGCGCCACCGAGGTTGCTGTTATTTATCATAAGATTTAATATATAACTTGGTGAATGACATGGGTAGCTTATGTTTCAAAATACAACCTTAAAAAAAAGTTTGAACTTTTGAATTCTCTCAAACTTTAAATAGAAGCAGCAGTTTGCTATCAGGAGTAAATGTTGTTGTTGTTATTGTTATATGCCTTCAAGCCGTCTCCGACTCATAGCGACCCCTCCTTGGGTTTCTGAGGCAGTATCACTATGGAAGTTGATTGTCCAGTCTTCCTTCCGAGGAGTAGCTGGTGGGTTTGAATTGCCAACCCTCTCTAGCAGTCAAGTGCCTTAGGCACTGCACCACCAGAGCTCCCAGGAATAAATGTAGAGAACACAGAAAGTCAAAATCAAATACAGTGAAACCTATGAAAGCCAGAACTCAATGGGACTGCCCATTTGTTCTGGATCTGCAATTTTTTTTGCCTTTGACAGGGTGCATGTATCACTCTGTTAAGGATTCTACCTCATTTTGAGTTTTCTTTCTCTGACAAGATTCCGCCTTACACAGGTTCTGGCTTTTGCAGGTTTTACTGTTATATCCCAGATGGTAAATCTTTAGGGAAGTAGATTGCCCAGTCTTTCTTCTGAGGAGTGGCTGGTGAGTTTGAACTGCCAACCTCCTGGTTAGCAGTCAAATAAATACCTTAGGCACTTAGCCACCAGAGATCCATTAAGGCATATGAGATGGTCTCATATTGACCCACAATTGACTGCTCTTTCTGAGCTTACCATTAACTTCCGACGTTTTACCGAGGTGATTTTTTAGGAAGCCACAAAGCTTATATTATTTAACTTGGTTTGAGACTGAATTTTGGACTATAGCGAAATTGTAAACTGACTCTGTAGAGGAAATGGTCCTAGATCACTTACAGGCTGATAAAAATAAAGGGAAAAATAAACCCAATGTTTAACAGCAAAACGAAACAATGGTGAAACACGTGGGTCAGTGTAAGAGGGGCGGGGCAGCGTCTGGCACCCAGGGGCAGGCCTAGTCCCACAGTGGCAGAGAATCCTTTACAAGGAGTTCGCTCCTCCCTGTGACGTCATAGGCAGGTCCTGTCTTCGCTGTCTCTGGCTCTTGGTTATCGTTGTGGCTCACACGCGCCCCGGAAGCTGCCTGTGCGCTGGGGGTCATGATGGGCAGCAAAATGGCGTCCGCCAGCAGGGTCGTTCAGGTAAAGAGATTCGGTCGACATTCCGCACGGTGGGCTGTAGGGATGGTGCTGACTATAGCGACGGTGCTGGGGAGGAATGGCTTTGGAGGAGGCTGAGCGGTGATCGCAACCTTGAGTAGGGCTGGCGGCGGCGCCCGAGGGTGTGTGTGACAGTTGGACCTTTGAGCCCTTTGGGCTGGGCAGTGAGCCGGGTTCCGGAGCTGAGGTCAGCTCGAGCGCCGCTACGGAGTGCGGCATCTCGGCAGGTAGGCACATAATCGCTCCAGGGTCCTTGGACAGTCCAGGACCTTGTTAGCTCCCTTCGGAGTGTGAAGACTCGTTAGGCTGCCTTGGCAATAGCCTAGCCAATCGCCGCGGTAACATTGTCTGTGATGTTCTCATTCAACCAATCGGAAGGAAGGAAGGAAGTAATGGAGAGGGAAAGGAAGCGAAACCTGATTCCAACCCAGTGTCCCTTCAAGGACTAGGGTTTGGCGGGTCTCGGGCTGCGTCCTCGCCTGACAACAATACTTCATAACTTCTTCAAGCGTCTGACTACAGGCCGGATAAGAGAAATAGAAAAAAATATATTATTTAAGTTTAGCTGTAGTTTATGTTTTATTGTTGGTTTCAAAAGCTTTTGTTGTGTGAGTTTAGATAGGCAGCGAGAGTAACTTTTTTAATCTGCAGTTGAGCTACTAACTCCTGTTTTTGCTTCTCCAGCTGTGGTCCTTAGCTTATATAAGAGAGGTGAAATTCATATACAGATGTACACACTCTCCACTTTAGTGGTTAGTTAACACAGTCTTTTTTAATCCTGAAACCATATTATTTTATGATTAAATTTTAGTTTCATATGACAGGTACACCTGCACAGCTACATGTCTTAAAATACCTTTTTCTGAAGTCTCAATCTAAATGATAATCCTAGATTTCAGTCTTTGATCCTATTGCAACAAATGATTGTCATTGATTTATTCAGTGGATAGTTACTAAGTGTTTATTAATGAAAGAATCTGTGCAGACAGGGAGAAAATAACTAATATGTACATCTGGAAAAGGACTGGTATCCGTAATGCATAACCCAATTTCAAAAATGGTTTAAAGATTTAAGTGGGTAATGCATAGAACATCCAAATAAGCAACAAGCCTGTGAAAAGATGCCCAAATAATTACTCATCAGGAAAAGGCTAATTGAAACCAGGATCTACTATCACAAACTCACCAAAATGATTGAAATTTAAAAGACATACCAAGTGGTGATGAGAGTATGAAGCACCTGAAACCATATGAAGCATCATACATTGCTGCTTGAAGTGTAAAATGGTATAGCCTGTTTGGAAAACTGTCAGTCTCCAATAAAGTTAGTGACCACCTTATGACCAGTAATTCTCCTGTTAGGTTTATATCCAAGAGAAATGAGTGCATCTACCCACAAAAAGAATGTTTTAGCAGCTTTATTCAGAATAGCCCACAAATCAGAAACACTCCAAATGTTCATGAGCAGGATGAACAAATTGTGATGGAGTCATAAAATGGAATAGGACACAGCAATAGAAAAGAAAGAACTACTGGTAAGTCAAAAGAAAAAAAAATACTATGAGATTTATAAGTAGAAATGGTCTGTGCCTCTCTAATGGGAGCAAAGCCCTGTACTCAAATATTCATAATATAAAGCACTGTGTGTTAATGTTATATAATAATTACATATAACATTAATAGCATTTATTGAGTATTTCTGTGCCAGGCCTATATTCAGTGCTGGGACTACAATGCCAAAAAGATAGGCATGATGCCTCCATAGATCTTAGATTCTGGATGTTGATTATATCTTGAAGAAAGAGTAGTAATTCAACAGACTGCACAAATTGACTTGAAATCCAAAACATGATCTCAGAATATTTAGTAGAGAAACTAAAGAGTATGACACACAAGTAATTTTTGAAGAGTAAATTAAAGGTATTAATTAAGTGCCTGCTGAATGCCAAACACTATACATTTGATATATTTCAGTTGATATGAGAGCAAAAAGGTAATAGTTTATCATTTAGGAAATAGTTGACCTATATCAGCCACAGGGGAAGAAGATGGATGATTGGATTATTTCATAGTTTGGGATCAAGATGAAAATAAGGGTACAGCGATAGGGTGCTGGTAAGAGAAGGGTTGACTGGACCCTGAGTTCCAGGCTAGATAAGAAAGGAAGTAAAGTCAGGATGGAACCGATTGATTCAGAGAAAAGGGAACTATCAAGGAAATGAAAGGCTTAATGAAGCTGACTGCATGAATTAATTGAGAGAATAAGAAGTGGTAGCTGGGGTTGGGTTAAATTTTAGTTTAAGATTTTAGTGATGGTGAAATAAATACCTAGACATTTGGAAGACAGCTAACTGGCCAACTGACTGCAAAACATGTGTATTTATGCCCTTTCCAAAGAAGGTGAACCAACAGAATGCAGAAATTGTCAAACAGTATCATTATTATCACACACAAGTTTTACTGAAGATAATTCAAAAATAGTTGCAGCAGTACAACAAGGAGCTGCTAGAAATTCAAGCCAGATTCAGAAGAGGACACTGAACAAGGGATATCATTACCAAGATCAGATGGCTCTTGGCTGAAAGCAGAGAATACTAAAAAAATGTTTACCTGTGTTTTATTATTGACTATGCAGTGGTGTTCAGCTTTATGCCTTTAGGCATAACAAATTACAGATAACATTGTGAAGAACAGAAATTCCAGGACATTATAATTGTGCACATCATGTACATAGACCAGGAGACAGTCATCATAATAGAACAAGGTGATCCTGCATGGTTTAAAATCAGGAAAGGTGTGCATCAGGGTTGTATCCTTTCAGCATACTTACCCAATCTTTATTCTAAGTAAATAATCAGATAAACGACTATATGAAGAAGAATGTAGCATGAGGATTGGAGGAAGACTCATTAATAGCCTTCAGTATGGAGATAACCCAAAGTTGTTTGCTGCACATGAGGAGGACTTGAAGTACTTATTGATGAAAGCCTTCAGTATGGATTACACCTCAGCATAAAACAAAACATCCTCACAACTGGACCAATAAGCAACATAACATCTTGATACGGAGAAAAGACTGAAGTTGTCAAGGTTTTTGTTTTACTGGAATCCACTGTCAGTGCCCATGGAAGTAGCAGTCACGAAATCAAATTACGTATTGCATTGGACAAATCTACTGCAAAAGACTCTTTAAAGTGTTAAAAAGCAGAGATGTCACTTTGAGAACTAAGGTGAACCTGGCCCAAGCCATGGTATTTGCAATTGTCTCAAATGCATGTAAAAGCTAGACAGTAAATAAAGAAGACCTGAAAAGAATTGATGCATTTGAATTATGGTGTTGGTAAAGAAGATTGAATATACCATAAAGAATATATATACCAGAAGAATGAGCAAATCTGCCTTAGAAGTACAGACATAATGTGCCGTAGAAGTGAGGATGGTGAGACTTCATCTCATGTACTTTGGACACGTTATCAGGCAGTACCAATCCCTGGAGAAGGACATCATGCTTGATAGTAGAGGGCCAGTGGAAAAAAGGATGACCCTCAATGAGATAGACTGATACAATGGTTGCAGCAATGGGCTCAAACAGTTGTGAGGATGGCACAAGACTGGGAAGTGTTTTCTGTTGTACATAGAGTCACTGTGAGTCAGGGCTGACTCAGCAGCACCTAATGATAGCAGTTTGAGTTCAGTGAAAAATTATAATTTACTTATAAATTATAAAAGAAGAACTTTTCAGAAGTGAACAGTAAACTAGAATAAACATAAGGTAATAAATAGGCACCTCAGAATTTATATTTAATAATGGATAAAAAAGAAAAAACAAAATTATATACTAAGGAAGTAAGAGATTAAAAGGACTCAGAGAAAGTGATAGAAGTAGCTGACAGGTAAGAAATTTTGTATAATAAATACTGTAAGGTCACAATAAAGAGATGAGGATGCACAAAAGTGGGGTTAAAGAGAAGTTTTATTCTGTGCTCCCTGGAGAGGTTTATGGGTCCCCGAGAGGGGCCCGGGCAAGGTTCACGGATCCCTGAGAGGGGCCAGAGAAGTCGTGCTGCCCAGGTGAAAGAAAGGGTTTTTTATAGTGATTTTCTTCCTGGTTCTTAGAGGACCGGATTGAGAGCAGGGTATGTGTTACAGGAACCAGTAAGGTTAAAGTACCCTGTTAGCATGGGGGTAGGAAGCAGAGTTGAAGCACTTCATTAACATAGTGGGCAGGAAATGGTTGGGGGCTTTTGTGAGTAAGAGTCAGGTGCTGGGGTCTTTTGTAAGTAAGGGTTATGTGCTGGGATTTGGTATGGGCTCTGGTCAGGTGCCTCCTTGCTTGACCAGTTCTTGTAATTCCCTCTGGCTTAATTATTCACCCTCCTGGCCAGCCATGTTTCTGCCTAACAAGTACTTGCTGCCATCCAATCGATTCTGACCAGAACTGCCCCATAGGGTTTCCAAGGCTATCATCTTTACAGATGCAGACTGAGTAGCTGGTGGATTTGAACTGCAAAACTTTCGGTTAGCAGCTGAGCTCTTTCCTACTGCTCCACCAGGACTCCTTTGTATAATAAGTAGTCTCTGAAAAAGAAAAAGCAAACTGAATTCCAGAAGTTGTAATTTAATAAACCCTTTTTATTTTCTTTTTTAAAAATATATTAGAAGACCTAGACTTTGTACTGGGAAAATTGAGCCAGTATGGTTGACCAATGTGTATATTCTAGAAAAATCATTACATTTTAAAGAAAAAAATTCTTTGACGATCCATGCAACAAGACCAAGCATTTAAAATGGAGAAAAAGTCTTCAGAGTTTTCAACAATACTACTTCATTAAAGAAACAAATAGATATTTAAGGGTGTGAGGAAAGTAAATATGAAACAAGGATTTTATATCTAGCTACACTGATCTTCAATATAAAGGCCACAAACTGTTCTGAACCCTCAGTAACTCTGAATATTGTTCCCAGGAGCCCTTCCTACTAGATTTTGTAATCAGGGAAAATGTCTCCACAATGACATTTGAGCTGTGTTTTAAAGGACAAGTATTCAAGTGAAGGGGTAGACATGAGAGTAGGGTGGGGTAGAGGAGAGATTTCCTGACAGAGAACATAAATTGTAGATGGAATGGGGATGGGAATGGCATGATAAATTTGAGAAATGAAAAGTACTTCAGAATACATGGAGTAAGAGGTACATACGGGAGTGGTGGGAAATGAGGCTGGAGAAGTAGGAACAGGTCAGATCATGATGGGCCTTGGGAGTGTCAAATAGGTCTTTGAACTTTGTCCTGAAAGCTGTTGACATTTTTTTTTTAACCAGGGAGAGCCATCTGGGATAGAACATTCAAGAAGCTTGGTGATGGAAGAGAAGCAACAGTTACTAGAGAAAAAATTATTTTTGTTTTTTTGACATGGAAGACTTGAGCGTGCTTTTGTGCTGGGGGAGACAATTATAGTCCATCATTTTCTCACAACAGTGAATTATGACGGTGCATTTTGAGGCCAGTGCCAACAAGCCTATTTACTTCTGTGCCCATATAAAATGCATATGTATATATACAAATACATGGCAGATGAACACACACACACACACATCAGTTTCTCTAGTTACATAGCAGTTTACAGATTACTTTAATTAAAAATGGTACTTGGTTTATTAGATTCTTAGAATGGTCGATCCATTTACGGTTCTCTATAGCATATTGTTAAGGAGTTCTGGTGGCACAATGGTTAAACAGTTGGCTACTAACAAAAAGGTCAGCAGTCCAAACCTGCCAGTCACTCCACAGGAGAAAGATGTGGCAGTCTGCTTCCATAAAGATTACAACCTTGGAGACCTTCTTGGGGCTGTTCTATTCTGTCCTGTAGGGGCACTATGAGTTAGAATCAACTCACCAGCAGTGGGGGTTATAACATTGTTAAAGGTCCCTGGGTGGCTCAAAAGGTTTGCACTTGACTACTACACTAAAGGTTGGCAGTTCATACCCATCCTGAGATGCCATAGAAGAAAGGCCAGACAATCTGCTTCTGTTATGATTACAGCCAATAAAACCCTATGGAGCAGCTCTGCTGAGGTCTGTCGTGAGTCAGAATCAACCTGATAGCAACAGGTTTGGTTTTGGTTTTTATAGTATTATCTCTACCACTTATCTATCAATTTGCCATTCTATAATAGCTTGCATGGGAGCTCTGGTGGCATATTGCCTAAGGCATTTGACTGCTAACCAGAAGGCTGCCAGTTCAAACCCACCAGCCACTCCTCAGAAGGAAGGTTGGGCAATCTACTTCCCAAGGGATACCGCTTCAGAAACCCAAGGAGGGGTTGCTATGAGTCAGATCTGACTCCATGGCAGTGCATTAGGTTTTTTTTTTTGGTTAGTAGCTTGCATGTTGCTATGATTCTGGAAGCTATGCCAGTGGTATTTCAAATACCAGCAGGGTCCCCCTGGTGGACAGGTTTCAGTTGGGCTTCTAGACTAACAGACCAGAAAGAAAGGCCTGATGAGATCAAGCAGTGAAAACCCAATGGATCACAAGAGAATATTTTCTGATATAGTGCTGGAGGATGAGGCCCCTAAGTTGGAAGGCACTCAGAATACAGTGGCTACCTCAGTGGGCTTGAGCGTAGAGATGGGGCAGAACTGGGTGGCATTTTGTTCTCTTGTACATAGTGTCACCGTAAGCCAAAGTTGACTCAATGGCAACAAACAACAGCAACATACTATCTGGAATTTTAGGGATGGAAATGTTAATATTCTTCAAATATGTTATAAAAATATTCAAAGAATACCTGTGTGTTTGGGTGTACAAAAGAAAACTAAAATAAAAGACTATCAAATATTTTAACAGTCTGGTTTGTATGAGTGTTTGGATTATAGATCGTGTTTCTTCTTTGTGCTTTTTAAATTTTTTTTTTTTTTTACACAGAATGGATTATTTTTGTTTATTTGAGAAATGCAACATTTTAACTTATAAATAGGATTTGGATAGCCTCCCCCCACCTCTATCAGAAAGGAGCCTACGGACTGCCCTTGGAGAGGAAGAGGGTCCTGGAGGTTAAGGCCCCCAAGATGGGGAGGGAGTGGTGAGAGCCAGTGTCAGTAGAGAAAGACAGGTCTTGGAGTTCCGTGAAGCTGGTCCTAGGCCCAGCAGTTACTGGCAGTGCCTAGAGTGATGAGCAGAGTGGCTTTCTCAGGTAAGGGGTTGTGCTTCTGACTGGACTTGCATCTGTATTTGCAACTTGCTCAAAGCAAAGATGATTCCCATGATGTGTAGGAGCCCTGCACAGATCATCCTGCCAAGCTGGAGGCCCTTCCAGTCACAGTAGAAGGAACTGTCTTTCACAACAATGTCACTGGCTTCCAAGGCAGGTACGTGAGCCAGCAAAAGAACCCATATCACTTCTTCTATGTCACAACTCAGGCAGGGCAGGGGCACTTGTGTTAGCAGGTGACTAAACCTCTCTGTACATCAGTCTCTGAGAACTCACTATAGAGAGCAGGTGTGAAGAGGCTGCTGGGTCTGTGGATGGCCCAAGTGGGTTCAGTCTCTTTAAATCCCACAGTCCCACCCAGGCAACAGTACCTGTGCCAGGGAACTGGTCTGACTCCTTGAGCTTCAGAATGTATTACTTTTGTTCTAAGAAAAGTAAGTTTTGTAAAATTACCTAAATTTCAATATGACTGCTTTTTAACTGTTAGGTATTAACACTACAGGGAAGAAACACTTGATACAAGTCAGGAAACTTCAGATTCTTTTTCTACCAACTAGCAGGGTTATCTATAAGTCTTGCAATATGAAATCAATGTCATCTTCATAGGGGTGTTATGAGATCAGTAGTTGTTGTTGTTGTTGTTAAGTGCCGTCGAGTCAGCCCCGACTCATAGCGACCCCTCCTTGGGTTCCCGAGGCAGTATCACTATGGAAGTAGGATTGCCCAACCTTCCTTCCGAGGAGTGGCTGGTGGGTTTGAACCGCCAGCCTTCTGGTTAGCAGTCAAGTGCCTTAGGCCCTATGCCTAAGGCACTTGACTGCTCAGTAAAATGTCTTGTGTGTAGAGTTACTAGGAAAAGCAGAAAAACAAGCTAATAATTCATAGACTGGCTTTCCAGGTCAGGAAGAATATGATTCCTATCAAATATTAAGTGTTTTACTTTAGCAAAGGCATCTTATATGAGGTTGAGTAAATCACTTATTATAATTAGTATTAGGAGATTATTTTAGTGTTTTACTTTTTTCCCTTATATTTTCTTTTTTGTTTAGGTAGTCAAGCCACATACTCCATTAATAAGATTCCCTGATAGAACTGACAACCCTAAACCTAATGGTAAGTTGTACTTTATTTAGATGGGGGTGTGTGTGTACATGCATATTTACAAATGAATATTTCACTATAAGCAGTGTTTCTCATTTTAATATTCAGTTGTTGTTGTTGTTGTTGTTATGTGCCGTCGAGTCGGCCCGACTCATAGCGACCCCTCCTTGGGTTTCCGAGGCAGTATCACTATGGAAGTAGGATTGCCCAACCTTCCTTCCTATTGTAATTTAAAATGGTGCCTCAGGCAACATGCAAGTAGAAAAGAACTTTTTATTCCATTTTAAAAAGGTAGTAACTCAACAGATCTCTGAATTTTTAATGATACTGAGTTTATATACTGTAACTGTCTTAGTTTGCTAGTGCTGCTGTAATAAAAATACCACAAGTAGGTGGTTGTAATGAACAGAAATATGTTCTTTGTTTAGGCAGCTAGAAGTCTGAATTCAGGACCAAGGCCCTCTGTTTGCTCTGGGGAAAAACCCTTGACTCAGCTTCTCTATCACTGTTCTTATGTTTCTTGGAGATTTCCACGTGGCATCTATCTTTGCTCCATTTGTGTTTGCTTTCTTCTGTACCTCATCAGGTCTTTCATTCTCAAACGTGATTGGTTGACAACATACCCCGCACTGTTATGGCCTCATTAACATAAAAAACAAAACCCTGTTCCCAAATGGGATCACATCCACAAGTAGAAAGTTCTAGAAGGGTTTTGTTTTTATCTGACCCCTCCTTTTTACCAGATCCTCTGTTGCTCATTTTATTATAAAATACTTGATCTTAATCGGAGGTTTGACAAATTTTATAGGAATACTTTTAACTTATTATAACTACTGTTGAAGAATTAAGATATGGGTGATGAACAAGTTTTAAAATATTGAGAAAACTGCTCTTGTTTACATTTACTAACTTTTTTATTCCACATTGTAAGGTATTACCTGTAAACTCCTACGTGTCTTGGCCTATGAGGGATTATATGACAAAAACTTAAGTAATGTGGGTTGCCCATAATGGGTACCCTACTAACTAGAAATTTTATTGTACAGTTTAGTAATTTAGTACTTAAAACTACCTCTTTGTTTTAAAATGAAGTTTTTAGGAAATTATGTATAGCCACTCAACTAAGTTAATCTATAATACCAAGAAAACAAACCAGTTGCCATTGAGTCAATTCTAACTCAAAGCAACCCTATAGGACAGAGTAGAACTGCATCATAGCGTTTCCAAGGCTGTAAACTTTTATGGAAGCAAACGGCCAAATCTTTCCCCTGTGGAGCCATTGGTGGGTTTGAACCACCAGCTTTTTGGTTAACAACCAAGCACTTAACCACTATGGCACCAGAACTCCTTATTCTATGATGTTATTGTTGTTATGTGCTATCAAGTCAGACCCGACTCACCGCAACCCCTCCTTGGGTTTCCGAGGCGGTATCACTACGGAAGTAGATTGCCCAACCTTCCTTCCGAGGAGTGGCTGGTGGGTTTGAACAGCCAGCCTTCTGGTTAGCAGTCAAATGCCTTAGGCACTACGCTACCACCTACCTCTAATTCTGACTTATAATTCAGGGATGAGTAGACTGTTCAATAGTAGATAAACTAAAGAGTATTTTAAGACACTCAAACAATTTCTCTGAATGTGCTTTTTTTTTTTTTTTTTTAATTTCAGTATCAGAAGCTTTGAGATCAGCAGGAATGCCGTCACACTCTTCTGCAATGTCACAGCATTCTAAGGGAAGTAAATCACCAGATTTGCGGATGCAGCAGGGTCCACCAGACACTGCAGAAATAATAAAAACGTTACCTCAGAAATACAGAAGGAAACTTGTGTCTCAAGAAGAAATTGAATTTATCCAGGTATGTTGTTGATCTTTATCACAGGACTATATAAAACACATTTTTTACTTTTGGAATTTCATATGCTGATTAACGTGCTCTGCCCATTGTCTTATCAAAATGTGGCCGCAGTTAAGACAGAGATAGATAGGCCAGGACTCTGGCACAGACCAGTCAGTGCCTTCAGTAAATGTATATGAAAGAATGGAATATATGTGTAGAAGTGTAACCAGCAAAGGATATAAATTTATAAATTGTAAATCTGGAGGCCAAGAAATACTAGCTATTAATAGTTAGACAGGCATTCAGAAGCTATAAATCAAAAAAAAGCAAACCTACTGCCGTTGAGTTGATTCCAACTCAGAGTGACCCTATAGGGCAGAGCAGAACTGGATTTCCAAAGCTGTAATTCTTTACAGAAGCAGAATGCCTCATTTTTCTCCCATGGTATGGCTGGTGGGTTCGAACCACCAACCTTTTGGTTAGCAACCCAATGTTTTAACCACAGTGCCATCAGAGCTCCTTTCAGAAGCTATAGAGGTTGCAAACTGGTAGCCCACAGGCCAGATTCAGCCTCAGGTGCTTTAAAAAAACTGAGTAATTCAATAAATGGTAGCCGTTAAAAACAAATAAACCTGAGTAATTGTCAGCATTTAAAAATGGAGAGAATTGGCATCCAATCTGCAGCCTATACGACTATCAGACCAGAAGAAATAGATGGTGCTCGGCTACTACTGTCAACCGCTTGGAAGAGGATCTTTGTAGGAGATCCTGGATAGA